CTAAAGCTGATGAAGCATTAAAGGCTAAAGAGAAAAGTGAAGAAGCAGCAAAAAAGAGAAAGGAAGAAGGTAATGTAATTTTTTATTTCTTAGCAAAATAAACTGATTTTTTATTAAACTAGCAATAAGAATTCCTTAAGGACCCAGTTCCTGTAGGGTTCTCAGGTTTTCCTCCTGGGGAGGGGACCGTGTCTTAAAAGGATAGGCAAGGGCTTAAAATTAAGTCCTATGAACAGTCTTCCTCTGATTTACAGTCAGAGGAATCTTGTCCACTTCTCATCTGCAGTCATGTGACATGCCTGTGGCACTAACAAGAATTGCTTATATGTACAAAAGCTATGTGAGAAGTTGTTAATAGGTTTTAGCTTTCTTTAAAGTAATGTAGCTGTTGGAACCAAGTAAAAAGCTAATGTTGCATTCTGTGAATATTGATAGTTTATTCCACTGTCATACCTAAGCTGATTAACTATAAATAGTTCAGTTTGTTTGTTTGTATATTTACTCCACTCTGTGTCATGATACATGACAATATTCTTATTTTTGCAGTCTCTCCCTTGAGAGCTTCCAAGTTCAGGGTCTTTGTGCACTGAATTCTACTAGGTGGAATTTAGTGGGAATTCTGTACAAGATTTGCAGGATCAAAACAAATATACTTTGATGTTGTGTTTTGCCACAACTTAGTGATACATTTTCAGATTGTATCTGAAAGGCTGCCTGGACTACATACCCTTCAGTGATATCACTTCAGCTGCGAGGAAACATACCCACATTTCTCAAACACAGTTAATAATTTTTCCAGTTAAAATGAACCACTAAATTATCTGCAGCATTGTAATACTTTCATGTTGATTTTAAAAGTAAAAATATAGTAATAGGTTTTACTTTTCTGACTCAGCCATTTCCTTCTTGGAATATTAGACTATTGGAGTATTAGAATATTTTTTTTGACGTCAGATCACTTATCCCGATCGCTGTCTTGTGATGCACAAGGAGTGCATCTACATGAGATGCTTACTGCGGAGCTGCCTAATTAGCTCCACAATAAAGCATCACCATCTACATGAGCTGGAGGCTAGAGTAAACTAATTAACTCTGCCATCGGATAGTACTGCCCAAAACCAAGTACTGTTCTATGGTGGAGTTATTTACTCCACCAGAACGCACATGAAGACAGTGACTGGGGCTGGCTGGAGCATGTGTGCTACAGTGTGGGGCTGCCTGCCTGCACACGTGTAAATGCTACACCTGGGAGCAATAAACTCTGGCACAAATTGTGACGGAGTTTATTGCATCACATTAATATTCACTTGTAGAGCAGGGTTAAACATTTTCTCAAGGAAAGCCTTTCATCAGCTAGCTTCTTGTTCAGACAAGAAGTTGATTGAATTGCATTTCCCCCATCTTGACTCTCATCTTCAAATGCTCTAGTCCACTATCCTTCCATCTCCCAGTCTCTCATTTGTTTTACCTTCTGCCACCACTTCCAGTCTCTTGGGTCCAATTTCACTTTCATCTTTAGTTATCACCAAAATCTACCATTTTCACGTTGCGCTTTCTGCAGAAGCCATTGTTTACACTGTTTTTCTCTGGCTTATATTATGGTAACCACCTCGTATCTATTTCTTCTCATCATCTTCCTATGAAATCTCACCAGTAAAGTTATCATCCCCTCATGTTGCTCTGAATTTATTGAGAATTCTTCTTGAATCTGTTTGTTCTTGACCTGTCTCTTAGCACATCACATTAAAGTTCCTTGCCCTCATCTGGAAGTCTTGCATTTCCCAATTGTCATGCTCTCTTTATTTCCTTCATACATTTCACTTTGGATCATCTGGCATTCTGCTGCCCTTTTTAGGAACTGTCTCCTGTTTCCTGATCACCACATTTTCTCTATATGCCTGTTTCAAAACTGCACCAGCTACAAATCTTTCCTAACTTCTCCTAATCAGCTAACTCCTTACATTCCTTTTTCTAATTATTCTTGCTCCAAGTTTCTTTCTGTGCAAAGGCACTGAAGTTGTAGAAGGCTTTCTATTGATTGATGCTTTTGGGGGTTGAGAAAAAATGACTTAAGTTTGCAAATCTCACTTTCCCTTTTGGTTTCAGTATTTTCTTGGCTAGCACTTTCTGTTGCTACCTCTGTGACTACAGCTCGACTTTTCCCCTTTTCTCATTTATGTATGTGATCTTCAGCTGGACCTCAGACTTACGATTTCTCAACACAGTCTAAGCCAATTTATGCTTATACTAACAACTCTGTCTTCATGTATGAGTGTGACTATTGAAAATACGTCATTTTTTATGCTGCTGGTTGCCTTCTTCACCTCTTGAATTTTTTTCCTGCTTTATAGTTGTAAATGCCTTGACTCAGCTTTAAATTTTGAGACTTCTGGTTAAGATATGGAGACTTCTGGATAAGATAAAAAGAAGGGTCTTTTTATACTTGCATGCAGTCCTAGCTAAAAATGTTGCTGTTTGGTTCCCCTCAACTTTTCCTTAAAACAGATTTTGAAATAAATAACCTTTTACAATCTCAGTGTAATCTTAAATTCTAAATTAGAGACCTAAATTAGAGTTTGGAATCCTAAATCAGCGTTTACTGAACCAGCAATCACCCTAAACACACCAAAAAAGCTGTGATATATAGCCAAGCCCTCAGATACCATCACATTTGTACTGAAGAGAACACCCGGGATTGGCACCTCACCAATCTTAAAAAGACTTTCACCCAACAAGGACACTCGTGCAGAGAGATAGATCGCACATTTGAAAGAGCCACCTAGATACCACGTGAAGATCTGCTGCAGTACAGAAGAAAACCCCCAAATCGCACACCGCTGGTTATGACGTATCACCCCTCCCTTGAACCTGTATGGAAAATCCTCAAAAAATTGCAACCCATACTAGACAGAGACCCTATTCTTAAAAAGATCTTCCCACCCATCCTAGCCTTTAAACAAGCACCGAACCTCGCCAACCTCATCACCAGAAGCAAACTTCCTCAAGCCCAGAACACACCAAAAGGATCCAGACCGTGCCAGGACAAGAAATGCAAAACCTGCCAACACATCTCCACCACCCCCACAATTACTACACCCCACAACACAGCCATCAGCATCCCTGGATCTTACAGCTGCACCTCCAGAAATGTAATATACCTCATCCAATGCACCAAATGCCCTGATGGAAAATACGTAGGAGAGACCAAACAACAACTGCGCACCAGAATGAACGCACACCGGAAATCTATCAAAGACAAAAATACCCAATTACCGGTGGGGGCACATTTCTCACAGGAGGGCCACTCTCTCTCCAGTCTCTCAGTTCTGATCCTCAAGGGAAACTTACACAACACATCCCAGAGACGAGCCTATGAGCTCCATTTCATCAACCTGCTGGATACTAGAGATCATGGACTAAATATAGACATTGGATTTTTGATACATTATAATCTGCCTGGCAACTGACTCCCCAGCCCAGCCCAGCCCCTGGCTTCTTTACTTTTCATTCCATCCAGGAAGAGCACACACCAACTGCTGAAACTTCCCTAGCCTGACGAAGGGTTTTTGAACCCGAAAGCTTGCTTAATAACTATTCTCCAACTATTTGGGTTGGTCTAATAAAAGATATCAAATTCACCCAAGGAACCTTGTCTGCCTATGTCCTTAGACCAACACGGCTACAACCTACACCCCTCCAAAAGAAAGATGCACTTATGGATGAATGGAGTTGTAATACCTTGTTCTTGAACCAGTGTCCCAGTTGCTGCTCTATGGGACTTTCATTTAATCTTTCGGACTATCTTCTCTTCATCCCCCAACTTTTCTTTATATACAGGGCTTACATTACAAGGTCTAATTAATTCAGTACTCACACCAAACTCCTTATTATACTGTCACTCTGCTTCTACCGCAGTTTTTCATTGCTGTCCCTCACACAGTTTAAGGTACAATATAGACAGGTAACTAAACATCTTGTGCCTAAATTCCTTAATGTGCTTTAAAAAAATACAATGTAATTACCTTTGACATCTTTAAACTAATCAATTGCATTTTTTCAGTGTTGGAGGGTAGGAGGTTTGAGGTGTTCATATTTCATAAACTTTTTGGTTTAATGATCTGTTTAAAAAAAGTAAAATTGATGCTAAGCTTTTTCACTTCAAAGTGTACTGGGCACTCATTACATCTGAAGGAAATCTTTTCTTTTATGTTAATTTTCTAATTATGTTACCCAGATACACTGCGAGAGCTTATTATAAGAGAGACATCTATACTCCTAATATTTAAATATAACTAATCCATTCTGTCCAAATGGAGTGAGCCCTGGGGTATAGCCAACAAAAATCATAAGCTCCTCTTTACCAGCACATTCATCCACCCTTGAAATGAGTAAGAAGAATGTCTCCTTCAGCCCTGCTACTGTGTTCAACCTTGTGTTCAGGGGTCTGGTTTTTTTTAACTCAGAAAAACTAAAATGGGCATCATTTAAGAGCATCTTAACTGAAAATAAAAGTTGATAACTAAACACTGCTTCACGGGCAACCAAACTTCAAAGCAGAATTATGCTTCCTTCTACTTGGCCTACAAACTCAGTAGTACACTGCAAGTGGCTAAACCACTTTGAAGTCTGTGGGTTTTTTTATTTAAGCAGCTGCAACAGGAGTGTATTAAGCTCCCAGTGTCATGCTTTAAATAGATACTTAGAAGAGAAAGTGGTCCTGCTGTCTGCAGAGCATTGAACGAAGAAACTGAGCAAGCACCTCATTTTGGAAAGCCAACATCACAGGCATATGTCACACTTTTATAAATGGCTATGCAAGGTGCAGAATACCTGAGAACCAAGCCTCATGACCCTTTGAATATTTTTCAGTATATGTAATAAAACTTTTGAAATCCTTTCCTAATAAAATGTTGGCTTAGTATTTTGATGTAAAGACATTATAAGCAGTGTGATTTTACATAAATAATGGCCATTATTGGCTACAGTAAACAATTATCTATGATGACTTGCAATGGAGGAGAGGCACTGAACTGTCATTTATACCTCTCTGCAAGGTAACAAGGTATCTT